TGCTTGGCACATAGGATCTAATAAACCATGGTCAGGGGACCAAGTCAGAGATGGCAAACTGATGCCCCAAGGGCCGAAACATCTGGCTCACAGACATTTGCTTTGTTTTTTGATCTGCACAGTATTTTAAACACTAAGATAGTTGAGAACACTTAAAAAGAGCCTTTACATAAAAATCCTGATTTCCTGCTTCTTTTGACAGATGGGGATACCTGGAGGTGCTGGCCTCTGTGTCAGGGGCAGTGGACAGGAGCTGGGTGGCTGCTGCTCCACCGGGGCCGGGCGGGGTGCCGCTGTTTGTGTCTCCTTGACTTGAAGACAGAGCACCGTTCACCATTTGTCACTGTCGTTCCTTCCCTTGTTTACACGTGCCAGTCCTGCTGCACTGCTTTCCTTTGTCCACAAGGCCTTGGGGCATTTGAATTATTGACTGTGTGTGTTGAGTCATGGTGCTTGACTGGGTGACTGGGTGCTGGGTGTTGGAACAGAGGGGCTACAGCATGGTGGGAGGGTGTGCCCCAGGATAGGGGTGAGGCGAGGGTGCATCCAGGGTCTCCCCAGCCTCTGTGTTGGGGAGGGTTCCGCTGGAGCACTTGCTGCGCTAGAGGAAAATGCTTTTGCCTCCTTTGACTTGTTTGTCTGAAGTGGACCATCTGCAGTGGAATCAAATGAGATTTCTATGACACCGGCATTTGGGTGTGAAGTGGTATCTCATTGTGGTTTTAATTTGTAATACATTGATGGCTACTGATGTCGACCTTGTTTGCATTTCTGTTTTGCCCATTTGTAAATCTTCTTTCAAGAACTGTCTACTCAGGTTTTTTGACCATTTTACATTGGGTTATTTATCTTTTTCTTATTGGTGTTTCAGAGTTCTTTATGTATTCTACATACAAATACTTTGATCAGGTGTTTGGTTTTCAAGTGACTCCTCCCATTCTGTGGGGTGTCTTTTCACTTTCTTGATTATATCCTTGGAAGCACAAAAGTTTTAAATTTTGATGAGTCCAATTTATCTAGTTTTTCTTTTGTTGCTTTTGCTTCTGGTGTCTTAAGAAGCTGTTGTCTAATATAGTGTCACAAAGGTTTATGCTATTTTTTCTATAAATTTAGCTCTTACATATAAGTCTTACATACTTATATGTAAGTTCCATTTAGAGGTAATTTTTGTATATGGTGTAAGTTAATTTTTTTTACATGACTTATAGGGGTCCGACTTTACTCTTTTGCATGTGGGTATCTTTTCTGTCTCTTACAGCTTGTCGAAAGTGCTTTAGAGGGAAGATGTCAGGTGGAGCTCAGAGGGCTGTGCCCAGGGCAGAAAGGGAGGTAGGCTGGTTATTGGGAATGTGAGTTGGTGGCAGGCCATGGTGGTGAGACCCTGGCTAGCCTGTTGATTGTCCAGGGGCCTCCAACACCTGCTTCCTTACAGGGTAGGGCAGAGGCTAGGGCTGAAGAGTGGGTTCTGAGTCCTGTTCTTCATTTCTTCAAGTGTAGCTGGTTTTCTAGGGGAAGTTTTGTTACTTCTTATGTCCTGAGGAGGAGGGGCAGCGTGGAGCTCAGAGAGTAAAAGTGAGGCAGCCTGTGTCCTCAGAGCATTGGGGGGACTGTGTGGCTCAGGGTTGCCTGCTAGTCCTCCCGTCTACGCTAGCAGCAGCTGTGTATTTCCTCCCCCATGGTCCGTTTCATTTTCTTGATTAATTTTTCTAAATGTTCTCTTTGTTGACAAATAATGTGGTTTTGGCAGAACGCTAGTCCTTGGGCTACAGAACTACTTTAGTGGGCTTAGAAATGAAACAGCTGAGGTGGAGGAAAGGTTTGAGTCACTGCATTTGCGTTCTGAAGTCACCAGGAGAGGTGGGCAGAGCCACACGGAGGTGGCCATGGGTGGGCTCTGGGAGAAGGGTCTCCTGCCAGAGGGGCAGCCTGACACAGACTGAGTCCATTTCAAAATTTATTTTTAATAATTTACTGTGAATTTTATTCATTTACTTGGTTTTAAAATAGGTCATGTTCACATGGTTCAAAATTCACAAAGAATAAAAGAGGATATAGCGAAAAGTATTCTTACCCTTGAGCCACACAATTTTCTTCACTTTATGCTGTCACTTTTTGTCAAATCTTTCCAGAGAGATTTTATAAATATAGAAGCAAGTGAATGTAATATATGCATGCATATATATATATGTATACACACATATTCATTCCCTATTTCTTATGATGACTTTAGTGAGATATAATTCCAATATACCACATAATTCACTCATTTAAAGTGTCCAACCCAGCTGGGCATGATGGCTCATGCCTGTAATCCTGGCACTTTGGGGAACCAAGATAGGAGGATCGCTTGACGCCAGGAGTTTGGACCAGCCTGGTCAACATCACCAGGGCCCATCTCTCTAAACACATAAATAAAGTGTCCAACTCAGTGGTTTTTAGTATATTCACAGAGTGGTGCATCTATCACTAAAATCAATTTTAGAATATGTTCATCACTCCAAACTGAAACCATGAATCTATTAGTAGTTACTCCCTATGAATCTCCCGAATTTTCTTTCTGTGCATAGATTTCCCTATTCTGGATTTTCATATGCATGGGACCATACAATGTGTAGTCTTTTTTATTTAGTATGAATAGCTTATTTTATTTAGTATAATGTTTTCAGGGTTCATCTATGTGTAGCATGTATCATTTCTTTTTATTGCCATATAGTCTTCCATCCACTGGGCATACCATCTTTTATTTACTCATTCTTCAATGGATAGATATTGTACTAGCCTGTTCTCACACTGCTATAAATAACTGCCTGAGACTGGATAATTTATGAAGGAAAGAGGTTTAATTGACTCACAGTTCCGTGTAGCCGGCGAGGTCTCAGGAAACTTACAATCATGGCGGAAGGGGAAGCAAACATGTCCTCTCATAGTGGCAGGAGAGGGAAGTGCAGAGCAAAGTGGGGAAAAGCCCCTTATAAAACCATCGAATCTCATGAGAACTCACTTACTTTCATGGAAACAACATGGGGGAGCCATCCCCATAACCTAATCACCCACCACAAGGTCGCTTTCACAACACGTGGGGATTATGGGAACTACAATTTAAGATGAGCTTTGGGTGGCAACACAGCCAAACCACAGCAGATATTTAAGTTGTTTCCTTTTTGGGGCTATTATGAATAATGCTGCTCTGAGCAGGTGTATGAGTTTTTGTGTGGACATATATCTTGATGGCTCTTGGGAATATACCCAGGAGTGGAATTGCTGGGTCATATGGTAATTCCATCTTTAACCTTTTGACAAACTGCCAAATGGTTTTCCAAATTCCTGTACTAATTTATATCTTACTAGGGAAGTGTGTGAGGGTTATGATTTCTTACATCCTCATGTCAACATTTTGTCTTTTTTTTATAGCCATCCTAGGGGTTGTGAAGTGGTATCTCATGGTGGTTTTAATTTGCAATACACCGATGGCTAGTGATGTTGACTTTTTTGCATTTGCATATTGTAAATCTTCTTTTGAGAACTGTCTATTCAGGTCTTTTGACAATTTTACATTGGGTTGTCTTTTTATTATTGATGTTTAAGAGTTCTTTATATATTTTACATGCAAATACTTTGATCAGATGTATAGTTTGCAAGTGACTCCTCCCATTCTGTGGGGTGTCTTTTCATTTTCTTGATTATATCCTTTGAAGCACAAATGTTTAACATTTTGATGAGTCCAATTTATCTAGTTTTTCTTTTGTTTGCTTTTGCTTCTGGTGTCATATTTAAGAAGCCATTGTCTAATCCAGTGTCACAAAGGTTCATGCTATTTTTTTCTATAAATTTAACTCTTACATATAAGCCTTACATACTTATTTGTAAGTTCCATTTTGAGGTAATTTTTGTATATGGTGTGAGTTAATTTTTTTACATGTTTTTTAGGGGTTTGACTTTATGTTTTTGCATGTGGATCTCTTTTCTCTCTTTCTATGCTTGTCATCTTATTTTATAAAAACATCCTGTGTGTCTGAATGATTATTCCTTGTCAGTGGATAAAGTGCTCTTTATTCATTTATATGGCTGCTTAGTGTTCATTATATGGATGTATGTAACATTATTTAATCAGTCTCCTGTTAATGGACATGTAGATGTCATTTCACACATGTGGAAACATACCTGTAGGACAAATTCCTAGAAATGGAATTGCTGATTAAGGGCTATATCTTTTGTAACTGATGGATATCGTCAAAATGCTCTCTGTATAGGTTCACAGACAAGTAATGAGAGAGTTTCTGTACATCCTTGCCAACAGTGTATTTTTGGATAGTTCTATTTTTGCTAAATTTATAGGTGAAAAATGGAATCTCTGTGAAGATCAAACTTACATTTCTCTTATTGCAAGTGAGATTGGATATTTTTTCATGGTAAAGAATACAGAGACATTGGGGTTTGTGTGTGTGTGTATATGTGTGTGTGTGTGAACTGCCTGTGTTTTGTTCTTTACCAATTTTTCAATTAATTATTGATCTTTTTATTGATTTATAGGGACTATATATATATATATATATATATATACACATATATATTAAGGAGGTCAAATTTTAAAAAATTTATACTGAGTTGGCTGGGCACGGTGGCTCACACCTGTAATTCCAGCACTTTGGGAGGCCAAAGTGGGTGGATCACTTGAGGTTAGGAGTGGTCCAGCTGGGATCAGCTGGGATCCAAACCATATCACACTGTATTCAGTTATTGTAGTTTTACAGCATGTTTTACCATCTGACTTCTTTACAGAATTTTCCTGGCTATTCCATTCTTGCTGCTTCCCCCATCCCCATGAATTTTGGAATCAGCTCATTCAGATCCCCAACAGAAATTGGTCCGTATCTTACTGCATTTCACTGAACTTGTAGATTAATTAGGTGGCTTGAAATCTTTATGAGATCTAGTCAGAGGCGCAGCGTGCCCTCCTTTTGTTGACACAAGCTTTTTTTGATTGCTTTTGGACATTGCAGAAACTGGCTGGCAACCAAAAGAACTTACAGGGGTGCCTCTGGGTCCTAAGAATTGTCTGTTGAGTGCTGAGCCCTAGGGTTGGGGCACATTCAGAGATCTGAGGTGAGTTCCTGCCCTCTTGTTGCAGGGTGAAGGGCTCCGGTTGTGGGGTATGATGACCTGGATTTGCTTCGGCAGGTGACTCAGTGCCTCCTGGCCTTGCTTTTCTTGCCTTGATAGTGGGAACTCTCCTTGCCTCACTGGCTGGAGGCTGTGATGAGATCACGAGTGCATGGCCTGGCATTCAGGGTTGCCACCTCACAGTGCCTGTCGTTACTGTCACACCAGCACCGTGGATGACGCAGGAGGGGCCCGCATGCCTGGAGGTCACGTGTAGACAGTGCCCAGCAGCAGGGATGTGCCTATGAAGAGGGGCTGCAGGAGCTGCAGGGTTCGGAAGGAAAAAACCCTGCCTGGTTGGGGTGTCCTGGAATGGCTTCAGGAGAAGTAGGAAAGCTCATGGCCCGCTGGAGGAAGTAGAGCTCTGTCATCAGAACCCCGACCACACCTGGCAGGAAGTAGAAATGGATGAAGAAATTCGGGTTTAGGATGAGAGGCTTGCTCAGAAGCACACAGACAAGGGAATAGCAGGGCTCAGTGCTGAACCTCAGTCTCTGCACTTTGAGTCGGTGGCTCTGACGGTCATACTAGAAACTGAACTGAGTCTACAGCATTTAGTCCTGTTTGTTTTCTTTGTGGGAAGGACAAGGAAAGAAGGCCTCCCTCGCTGCGGCCTGCCAGGCTCTGGTGCCCTCCCTTGGCCTCCTTGTTTGTGTAAGTGGCACATATGAGCCCTCACACGAAACCTGTATCTGACCAGCTGGTGAACAGTCCATTGAGTAAACAAACCCTCTGGCTTCAGGATTATATTTCAGACTGAAATAAGTTTGGACATCTCTCTCTTGTTAGAAATGAGTTTTGTTTCGGACGGAAGGGTGCTTTATCTCTTCTAGAAATTCTCTGGCCTTGCCTATTCCTGTGAAGACAATATGGACATTTACTTATTAATAAAATGGCCACTTGCCGTCTCAGCCAGGTTGAGGTCTCCCGGTTAACAGTAGCCTATCACAGAAAAGAAAGATTCCTGCTGTGGAAGATGGGCCAGTGGTGTCTTTTCACTTCTGTATTTTCCCAAGTTCCTTCTTGGATGGGAGGTGCTAGCTGGGCTGTCCTTGCAGGCTGCTGTATTACTGGCCCCCAACATCACCCAGCATGCAGCTGCAGAGACAGGCTGTGGACGTGGGGGCACTGGGCTGCAAACCCAAGTCTGACTGCAAACCTGGGCTCGCTCTTTTTTTGTTTTATCTTTGGGACAGAGTCTCACTCTGTTGCCGAGGCTGGAGTTGCAGTCTAGGCTCACTGCAACCTCCGCCTCCTGGGCTGAAGCGATTCTCCTGCCTCAGCCTCCCAAGTAGCTGGGCCTACAGGTATGCGCCACCACACCTGGCTAATTTTTGTATTTTTAGTAGAGACAGGGCTTCACCATGTTGGCCAGGCTGGTCTCAAACCTCTGATCTCGTGATCTACCTGCCTTGGCCTCCCAAAGTGCCGGGATTACAGGCATGGATCACCGCATCTGGCCAAACCTGGGCTCTTTCTAGAACCAGGTGTTGTCCTTGAGCTGCCTGTGTCTCTGGGTAAGATGAAGGCCCTGTCCCCAGGGCTGGCCCTCTGCCCACGAAGGCACCCAGGGGACTTCAGCGTCATCACTCTGTGTAGTCTCTTCCTTTGCCTCAGGCTCGTGGCAGTTCCGGGAGGTGCAGTTGCTGGTTGTTTGTCCTCATGGAAAGCCTGCCCACAGGTAGCCCTAAGCAAAAAATGTCACTCTGCTTCGTGTGTATGGGTCCTTGTTTCTATAAGAGGCAGAGTCCTGGGGTTTAAACAGGCTTGAGGATATAGGGGAATGATACTTACATGTGGAAGGCTCCCTAAGAAAATTGTGGAAAAAGCCCCAAGAAGGGGTTGTGATCACAGTGGTGGTTTCCCTTCGTGCAGTGCCTTCCCTGAGACCTCGAGGCGGCTAGGGTTTGCCAGGTCATGTGTGACAGAAAATCCCACACCAGCTACCTTTGGTGAAAAAGGGAGTAGCCTTGTAGTTTTTAAGGAGAGCTGGCTTGGTAGTTGATTTAGGACTTGGTTTTTCTCTCTCTCTCCTTTCTGCCCTCTACCATATTGCCTTTATTTTCTGTTTTTAGATGGTGGCATGATGGCTTATGTCATCTGGGCCTCAAGGCCACTGGGAGAGGCACTCATCTGCTGGGTTCTAGCCCTCACAGCAGAGGCTCATTGGCGTGGGTTGGTAGTGCCTTCTTCTTCCCTCTGCCCTGCTCCCCTGCCATTGCCATGGCTTGGGTGTGGCAATGTCAGGATTGGCTCAGGCTCCAGGCTCACGTCCACGCCTAGAGCTGGGGGTGTGGCCGGGCCCATGTGGGAGGGGGCTGCATCCAAGGCACAGAGGATACAGATGCCAAAAGGAGGGAGGGAGTGGACGTGGGCCGGCTGCAAACCAGCACACTTCCTGAGGCAGTCACAGTTTAGAAAGCGTTTGTTAGAAGTGTGTCCAGATTGGTTGAGCTTGATGACTGACACCTGTAATGCCAGTACTTTGGGAGGCTGAGGCGAGTGGATCACCTGAGGTCAGGAGTTTGAGACTAGCCTGACCAACATGGAGAAATGCCGTCTCTACTAAAAACACAAAATTTAGCTGGGCTTGGTGGTGCATGCCTGTAATCCCAGCTACTCAGGAGATGGAGGCAGGAGAATTGCTTGAACCCGGGAGGCAGAGGTTGCCGTGAGCCGAGATTGCACCACTGCACTCCACCCTGGGCAACAAGAGTGAAACTCCACCTCAAAAAAAAAAAAGTGTGTCCAGATCAGTGTGGAATAGGAATGTGTGAACTGTGCCAAGTGACATTTTCCAGAAAGTGTGATGAGGAAGGGCCAAGAGTTTTTTAGGGCTAAAGTCCAGTGGCCGTGAAGTCCGGTGCGGCATGGAGTGGGGCTCTTGGATGGGAGTGAGTGGGAGTGGCAGAGCTGGGGCTTTGCCTCTGGGCACGCCAGGAATGGCTGAAGGCCATCTGTTGGGGTGGTCTGAGCTGGAGCACACCCTCGACCTGTCAGGGGTCATATGTGCTCACTTTGCCCTGTGATTTTCCTGGGTTGATTCCATGGTCTCTACTCTCAAGCCCTGTGCTCGCCTAGCTCGGTGGCGCATTTCAGATCATGGGTAGTTGTGCGGTACTTTCACTTAATTACGTGGGAAGGAGACCCTACTACAATTCTCCTGGTCACGGGACTGCCTGCTTCACACCCTAGCTCTGCCACTAATTAGCTACATAGCTGTGGGCAAGTCAGCCTCCCGGAGCCTCAGTTTCTCAGCTGTAAGACAGGGATACCAGCAGCACGTGCCTTTAGATGTTTTGCATTTGATCACAAATGTAAATTGCTTAACTGGCACCCAGGAAAAGTTCAACTTTTACGGACTATTTTATTATTATTATTTTGAGACAGTGTCTCACTCTGTCACCTAGGCTGGAGTGTGGTGGTGAGATCTCGGTTCGCTGCAACCTCCGTCCCCTGAGTTCAAGTGATTCTCCTGCCTTAGCCTCCCGAGTAGCTGACTACAGGTGCGTGCCACAACACCCAACCCAACTAATTGTTGTATTTTTTGGTAGAGATGGGTTTTCACTGTGTTAGCCAGGCTTGTGTCAAACTCCTGACCTCATGTGATCTGCCTACTTTGGCCTCCCAAAGTGTTGGGATTACAGGTGTGAGCCACTGCACCCGGCCTATTATTTATTATTATTATTGTTATTGATTTTTTTTTTTTAGAGACAAGGTCTTACTCTGTTACTCAGGCTGGAGTGCAGTGGGGTGATCATGGCTCACTGAAGCCTCACTGGATCCTGGAATCAAGCGATCCTCCCACCTCAGGCTCCTGAGTAGCTGGGACCACAGGTGTGTATCACCACACCTGGCTAGATTTTTTTTTTTCTGTTTTTTTGTAGAGATGGTGGTCTTGCTATGTTGGCCAGTCTGGTTTCTAACTCCTGGCCTCAATTGATCCCCCGTCTCAGCCTCCCAAATTGCTGGGATTACAGGTGTGAGCCACTCTGCCCAGCCTAGTACCTAGTGAATTATTATTTAAAAAGACACATTAAAGAATCTACACTTAGAGAAGAGAGAGCCAGACTTGGTGAGGATTTTTAGACTTTGAATATGCTTTATTTTCCTACTTTCTCACGTTCTGTCTCTGCGAGGCAGAACTGCACTGTTCTCTGAGCCCACTGGCCTCTGACAGGCTTGTGGATCTGAAGGTATGTGGAAAATGCTCATCGACTTTGGTCCTGAATTTCCTGGCTTCTGACTGGTGCACAGTTAGCAAAGGAAGAGTTCTCCTTTTAATTTGAGAAACGTGCCGGGTGTGGCAGTTTACACGTGTAATCCCAGCACTTTGGGAGGCTGAGGCCGGTGGGTCACCTGAGGTCAGGAGTTCGAGATCAGCCTGGCAAACATGGAGAAACCCTATCTCGACTAAGAGTACAAAAATTAGCTGGGTGTGGTGGCAGGTGCCTGTAATCCCAGGTGCTCCAGAGGCTGAGGCAGGGAGAATTGCTTGAACCCAGGAGGCAGCAGTTGCAGTGAGCCAAGATCGTGCCACTGCACTCCTGCCTGGGCTATAGAGCAAGACTCTTTCTCAACAACAACAACAAAAAATGTGTGAAGATTTCCCACACCCCCAATCCCACTGCCCCATCCCTGTACCCCAACTCCATTTAAACGCTGCAAGGTTTCCCACCCGCCATACGAGGAGACCCTTGTCAACATGGCAGGTGCACCTCGGTTGGGAACGTGTCTCAGTGTCTTTAAATTTCTCAAGAGTCTCAGTTTTATCCCTATTAACACACCCAGCAGTGGAAACAGCAGAAATTGCTCTTCTTTTATAAGGAGAGTTGTGTCTCAGAGAGTTGGTTGTTTGAAATGTAATTTCTCCAGCTCATTATGTCAAAACTGACATTTGAAGTATGCATGAGGACCCTTGCTAGTAGCCTTTTGTATTAGGGTTCTTTAGGGAAACAGAATCAATAGGGTGTGTGAGAGAGTGTGTGTGTGTGTGTGTGTGTGTGTGTGTGTGTGTGTGTATATGTGTGTGTGTGTATGTGGAGAGACAATGAGAGAGTAAGAGAGAAAAGAGAGAGAGAAGGAGAGAGAGAGAACCTTATTATAAGGAATCAGCTGATGTGATTATGTAGGCTGACAGGTACCAAGATCTGCCATCTGTAAGCTGGAGATCCATGAGGGCTGATTGTATAAGGTCCAGCCTAAATGCAGACAAGCTGAGAAGCTGCAGACACACGAAGAGCTGATGTTTTAGTTTGTGTCCAAAGGCAGGAAAAACACTGATGTCTTAGTTGGACGGCAATTAGACAGGAGGAATTCTCCTTACTCCTTGAGAGAAGGGTCTGCCTTTTTGCTCTATTCAGGCTTTCAACTGATGGGATGCGAGGGTCATCTGCTGTACAAAGAACCCGGTGATTCTACTGTTGATCTCATCCAGGTCCGTCCTTGCAGACACAGTGAGGCTGTGTGACCAAACGTCTGGGCACCCTGTCCTACAGCACTGACCAAATGTCTGGGCACTCAAGTCCTAGAGCACTGGCCATCACACCTTTGGTATAATCTCAGAATTTTTAATTTCTTGGGTCACATGGCTGCAGAGGCTGCACTAAAGCATCATGGGTCACAGCATTCTAGTCGCTGGTGCAATTCTCCTGCTTCTCCCACGGGCTGATGTTCAAGGGCCTTATTTTAGCTCAGCAGGCTAATTTTCTTATTGTAAGACTTCCATACATGAATGATAAAATTATAGAGAAGGAAAGTGATTTCATAGGTGGTGGGGATTAATTCCCGAGAGGCAGGGCTGAAGTCAGAGCCTCCGGAGACTTCTCCCAGGTTCTTTCATCAATCCTGCCCCAGGTTCAATGGCTACATGAGGCATCAGGTTCCAAGTATGCAATGAGATTTGCTAAGCGATTTTGCGTTTTCTGGGCTTTGCAAAAGCCAGAAAAGAGTCGCAAACATGACTATGACTCCTCAGCCTGAAGCCATCTGGGTGTGTTTTTTTTTGAGGGTCCACAGGGGACTTTCTCATGTCCTTGGGTTTGCAGGATATTTCATTTTCTGCTGCCCCAGATGCTTGTTCAGGCATGTGTCAGAAATGGATAGCCCAGCCTTGCCCCTTTGCAAAAGTCAAGCTCTCCTCCCAGACAGCCACAACTTGTCTGGACAGAGATTTAGGGCTGTCTTCCCAAGAAAGGCGTGTATATCGGGAGTTTGACCCTAGTCTCCGAGGCTTCAGGTTGGGTGGTTTTCCTTGTGGTTTTGTCTTGGATCACTTGTGGCATTTGGAAGCCACCTCTGGTCTTGACTTTCCAACTTCCAGTGTTGAAATGGAATTGGTCTGGGATTATAAGTTATCTAGGGCAGAATGCAGAGATTTATTTTATTCCTTGGAGGGAGGTGGACAGAAGAATCTGTTGGGGAGAGAATGTGGAGCCAGCTGTTTATAAAGTTAGCATTTAAGTCCCACACAAAGCCTGCTTCCTAAATACTGTTGTCCCAGGGCCACTGGCAAGGTGACTGGCTGTGCCCCTTTGGTTTATCCTGTTACTGCCAGGCTTGGCATTTGTACTATGCTGTATCCTTCATTCAGAATCCAGGTAGATTCACACACGTCTGTGCCTGTGTGTGTGTGCGTACCTGTGATAAAAGCAGGGATGAAAAATGCTTTGTGATGAGGCTTGGGTATCATCAGACTTTACAGTTAATTGTTCCCCCTCTTCCAAAATTTTACTCCTTTTCTCTACCCAAGGAACCATGAGAAGAGGGTGCTATGGGTTGTCTAGGTTGCTTTATGCCAAAGACATAGTATTGAAACTTTTCATGTCAATGACGTGACACTTTGGTAAATCATATCAGTTAAGACAAGACCAAGTTGCTGTTGCTAAGAGATTTTTTAAAAATCTGAAAGTGAAGTTCTGTTTTCATTCATTTCACCTGGAGAGTTTCTCTGTGCTGAAGACAAAGAGATGTCTCATGTGTCTTTGATGTGGTCTCCACTCGGGAATAGTTTACGGTTCGCAAGAAGAATGTGTAGGGAACCTGATTCTTCGGTGCCCTGTTTTTGACTTTCTGGGTTGACTGATTTCTCATAGACAGTATTAAATATTCTGAAAAAGGAGGGACACCAGTGAATACAAAGCAATTAGGAAAAATTCAAGAGAGTGGAGGAACAAACACAAAGAACTTCAATCATCACATTGAGAGTGTTATTCCCGGCGGCATCCTAGACCTTCCAGCCGTGTGCTGATACCTCTGGTAGCCTTCGTGCAGAGTCTTAGGCTAGGGACTGAAGTGGCTTGTGCCAGCGCTTTCCCTACAGTTCACGGTGACCCTGTACCATCCTAAAGATAAGAACATAGTGTTAGGTCTGGCAACGTGGCCCACACCTGTCAATCTCAGCCCTTTGAGAGGCTAAGGTGGGAGGATCACTTGAGTTCAGGAGTTCAAGACCAGCCTGGGCAACATAACAAGACCTCTTCTCTACTACAGTTAGAAAAAAAACCCCAGACAGATGTGGTGGCATGCACCTTTAGTCCCCGCTTCTCAGGAGGCTGAGGCGAAAGGATTGTGTAAGCTCAGGAGGTGGAGGCTGCAGTGAGCTATGATTGCACCACTGCACTCCAGACTGGGTGATAGAATGAGACCCTGTCTTTGAAAAACAAAACAGCAAAACCAAACCAAAACTCTGTAGTATTGTAACCATTTTCCTCATGAATCCTCATGATGGAAACAAAATTGAGTTGTTTCCATAAGCCCTTGTCCTAGGAGAAACGAGGTAGCGTGTTTAATGTCTCTTTATTTATTATCAATCCTAATAGTGACTTTTGCCAAGAGCCTGCCGTGTGCAGGCCTAAGTGCATCACCTCATGCAGGGCTCCCTCACCTGCAAGGAAGGCTGTTCCTATCCAATTTGATTTGCAAGGGAATGGAAGCTCAGGGAGATGAACTGACTTGCCTCTGATCACATAAGCACAGAGCAGCTCATTTCTGACCCAGATCTCCGCTGGCTGGCCCATAGGGTGGTGCCCTCAAGTGCCAGGCTGCGACAAACCCTGCCCTCATTGCACATCTTGGTCTTTGGGACTTTTTAAAGCATGAAGTTTGCCTTTTTAAAATATTGCATTTGTGACCGGGCTCACGCCTATAATCTCAGCACTTTGGGAGGCTGAGGTGGGCAGATCATGAGGTCGGGAGTTTGAGACCAGCCTGGCCATCATAGTGAAACCCTGTATCTACTAAAAATACAAAAAAAAAAAAAATTAGCTGGGCATGGTGGCAGGTGCCTGTAATTCCAGCTACTCAGGAGGCTGAGACAGGAGAATTACTTGAACCCAAGAGGCAGAGGTTGCAGTGAGCCGAGATCATGCCGTTGCACTCCAGCTCCATCAACAGTGGGAGACTCCATCTCAAAACAAACAAACAAACAAAACAAAATACTGCATTTGTGTATTACGTATCATGCTTACTCAGTTTTTAGTGCTCAAGGCTCAAAGTGAGTTCTGCTTTAAGAGTTAGTGAGGTCGGTCACTCACTCAAGGCCCCATGGCTGTAAGTGGGGCAGCAGAGTGTTAACTGAATCTCCTGGGAGCAGTCTCAGCAGCCAGCCTGGAGGCAGCAGCATGGTTTCCTTCTGTCAGATCCTCATGCTCTCGGTTGGAGGAAGGAAACCTGACTTATCACCGGCTGCTAAGTTGCTATCAGGTCCTCTGGGGCCTGGGCCCAGGGGCTCTTTCTCTTCCAGCTGTGTTCTCACCAATGTGCTGCTTCTCCTGCAGGTCGGGAAAGAGGTTAAAGAAGACCCGCAAGTATGATATCATCACCACTCCAGCCGAGCGAGTGGAAATGGCGCCGCTGAACGAAGAGGATGATGAGGATGAGGACTCCACAGTATTCGACATCAAATACAGGTACAGGGTGGGGCGGAGGCCTCCTCCTCAGTCTCAGACATTGAGTTGGTGGGACCTTGAGGCCAGCTATGGTGGCCATGTGTTCTTGTTTTTTGGTTAAGCATTGGGCCCTGGGGTGTTCTGCAGATGGAGAGACCTGCTCTGATCTTGTATGAGTCCATTTTCATGCTGCTAATAAAGACATACCTGGGACTGGGTCGTTTATAAAGGAAAGAGGTTTAATTGACTCGCAGTTCCACAGGGCTGTGGAAGCCTCACAATCATAGCAAAAGGCAAGGAGGAGCAAAGTCACATCTTATATGGGTGATGGCAGGCAAGAGAGCTTGTGAAGGGGAACTCCCCCTCATAAAACCATCAGACCTCGTGATACTTATTCACTGTCAGGACGAGAACAGCATGGGAGACCAGTCCCCATGATTCAGTTACCTGCTGGGTTCCTCCCACAACATGTGGCAATTGTGGGAGCTACGATTCAAGATGAGATTTGGGTGGAGACACAGACAAACCATATTAGATCCCTTCCTAGAACACAAAGCACCCAGAAACCCAGCAGAGAAATGCTTATTCCTTTTCCTAAAGGAGAACATGAAGTCACCTTTAAAGAAGGAAAAGGAGGGTTATGCTTCAGACAACAACCTGCTCTTTGTCCATGCTTGCGGGGGGTCTGGCTGCTAGCTGTGTGTGCTACACACCAGGCACCGAAGCAGCAACTTCTCTTTCAGCCTTGCTTACGTCAGTAGCTGAGGACGTGGGTGGTTGGGTGGATGGCATTCCTGCTTGAATGGAGTTTACCGGTGAGTTCTAAAAGCAGGTGTGTTTCCTAAAGGTTTTCTTTAGGAAAGTCAGAATGACTTTGTGACTTTAGGATTATAGTGTGGATTTTCAGATCATTTTGGGATGTACTTTTAATATGTGAGATTCTTAATGGAAGAGCTGAGGATGAGCATAGTTTTGAGACGAGGGTACAAAGACCCAGAGAAGGGGCATTGCTTGGCCAAGGTCCCAGTTAGTAGGAAAAGTGCAGCAGAAATCCAGGCTGGTCCCTATCTGGGCTCCCCACTTCTGCCCATCTGGGAAGGCAAGCCTTCCACCGTTCCTCAGCACAGCCTTGGCCATCCTTGGCCCTTCTGCATAAATCAGATTCAGCAAGACAGTGTTTGAGATTTTGACTGGAGCTGCATTGCGTGTAGATCAATTTAGGGAGAATCAGCACTTTTACATTGACTTTTCCAATTCATGAATATGGAAGGATTTTCCATTTATTAGGTATTTAAAAAATGTCTTTCAGTACTTTCAAAAATTTTTGTATAAATGTTTTATATATTTTTGTTAGATATATTCTTATAGGTGTCTTACAGTTTGATATGTATATTTTTTACTTTAAAGTACTGTTTTATTTACACTCATGTCTGAAAAAATGACTGTATTATAATCTTTACATACATATTGGTTTTGGAAGCTGAGTTTGTTAGTGAATCATACCAAAATCTTATAAAGAACTTGAAAACATTAAAACTGATTGGTTATGGATAGCAGAATGGGAGAAAAATCCCACTAGCTAGAATTTGCATTTTAGGCAAAGGGACAGCACCCTTTGAAAAGAATCAAATCAATTAGTAATATTTATCCATACCACAGAATAATACACAGTTAGCCCTCTGTACCTGAGAATTCCACATCTGCAGGTTCAACCAACCACAAATTGAAAATATTTGGGGTTGGGCATGGTGACTCATGCTTGTAATCCCAGCATTTTGAGAGGCTGATGAGTGCAGATCTCTTGAGCTCTGGAGTTTGAGACCAGCCTGGACCACATGGTAAAAAGACAAGTCTACAAAAAAAAAAAAAATTAGCCAGGCATGGTGGTGCATGCCTGTAGTCCAAGCTACTTGGGAGGATCACTGGGGCCTGAGAGGTCAAGGCTGCAGTGAGCCATGAGCATGTCACTGCACTCCAGCCTGGGCAACAGAGCAAGACCCTGTCTCAAAAAAAAAAAAAAGAAAGAAAATTTTGGGAAAAACAATGCAACAATGAAAATAATACAAATTAAAAAAAATACAGTATAAGAACTATTTACATTGTATTTACATTGTATTAGGTATTAGGAATATCTAGAGATGATTTAAAGTATACTAGAGAATGTGCATAGGATACATGCAAATCCTACACCATTTTATGTAAAAGACTTCAACATCTGTGGATTTTATCTTTGCGGGAGGTCTGGGAACCAGTTCTCTGAGAATACCAAGGGTTGATTGTATACATAGGAAAGTTAGCGATTGTATTGATTTTATCACTATGCCATTTTATCTGTCTCACATTCAATGCAAAGTAGTAAAATATAATGTGAAGAAAACCATGTCCTCATTACTATCTGCAATCAAAACAGTCTGCTTCCTCCTGCAGAGCGGGGCATGTTGTACAATAGGGAGCACTTAGTGGTTTGAGTGGATCAATGTACTGTTTTGATTCGGAGCCACCGAACGGCATCTCATCAATCTTTGGTGACTGAACTAACTCCATGGGAACCATGATAGACGGAACCATTTTCATGGTATCTCCACATCCCACTAAATAAGAGAAGACCCTAAACAAGGAAATATAGCAATCAATCTGCTCAGAAATTCTCTGTATAGACTGTTTACTGGAAGGTGGGAAAAAAGGGCCTTTCCCGGTATGCATAGATGTCAGTATTATTGTGGCCTGGTTGCTGGATTGATATTGTGTCTGGTATAATGAAGATAAGGCACACATTAAAACTAGTGTCAGATTAAGAAACTCCCACAGCTTGCTTCTGTTCTTCAAATAATGGAGTGAGTTCCTTTTCTGGGCTGACAATGAGTACCATATTGGCATTGCTGCTGGCGGTGAAACTCACCACTAAACATAAACCATTAAATTGAACCACCTGACTTTTTAATGATCATCATCACTCTAACTGGCATGAGATGGTATCTCAGTGTGGCTTTGATCTGCATTTCTCTAATGACCAGTGATAGGAACACTTTTACACTGTTGGTTGAGTGTAAATTAGTTCAACCATTGTGGAAGACAGTGTGGCGATTCCTCAAGGATCTAGAACTAGAAATAACATTTGACCCAGCAATCTCATTACTGGGTATATACCCAAAGGATATAATATAATCATTCTACTATAAGGACACATGCACAGGTATGTTTATTGTGGCACTGTTCACAATAGCAAAGACTTGGAACCAACACAAATGCCCATCAAAGATAGACTGGATAAAGAAAATGTAGCCATAAAAAAGGATGAGTTCGTGTCCTTTGCAGGGACATGGATGAACCTGAAAACTATCATTCTCAGCAAAGTAACAGAACAGAAAACCAAACACTGCATGTTCTCTCTCATAAGTGGGAGCTGAACAATGAGAACACATGGACACGGGGAGGGGAACATCACACGCCGGGGCTTGCCAGGGGGTGGCAGGCTAGGGAAGGGACAGCATTAGGAGAAACACCTAATGTAGATGACTGGTTGATGGGTACAGCAAACCACCATGGCACGTGTATACCTATGTAACAAACCTGCACGTTCTGCACATGTACCCCAGAACTTAAAAGTGTAATAAAAAAAAGAAATATTTTGAGACAATGAAAATAAATAATATTTATTGAAAAAAAAAAAACTGAACCACTTGGTAGGTGTTAAAGTTAACAGACAAGTCCAAGTTTGTTTTTTGATCGTCCAGGTTAGCTTGCTGGCTGGCGTGTTGCAAGGGCAAAAGTAAGTGAGACACTTGGTTCCAAGCATGCTCTGTGGCATTTTCAGCGGCGGCTTTAATGATGTGCATCTCACCTCTATCTGACACAGCCATAGCACAGGGCCTTTCAACTCTTGGTGGTTTTTAATACATGAATCGTGTTAGCTCCCTGAAGCACCTTAGCAGTGTCTTCTCTGCCCTTATTCTGAGCAGAAATAAATCCTTCTCTATTAGTTTCCCGCTCCAGACCATCAGCCGTATAAAGCACCCCTTTGTCCCACTGACCAGTCTCCATGCCTGGGTTTCCACTTCTGGGGCTGCCAGGTTCTCTCTGCTGTCATTTTGGGGACAGGGTCAAAGCAGATTTCTCTGCAAACTGCCACTTCATGATTCGTGACTTTGTCTCCGATGTCTTTGAAAAAATATCATTTAAAAACTTTTTGTTTATGGCAGGTTTTCTTTTTTAAGATATTGATTTAAAAAAAAAGTTGGCAACCTTGCTAAACTTTTGTTAATCCTTGTAGGATAAATGTGGAATCTTTGGGGTTTCTGTGTAGACATGTCATCTGAGACTAAGAAGAGTCCCTGTTCCTGCTCCCAAGTCCTTAAACATTTTCTCTCTTCTTTTGCCTTTTGGTACTCTTGGCCACAAAGTCATTGTTAAACAGAAGTGATGCCACTTCTGACACCAGGCCAGGTGAGGTGGCTCATGCCTGTAATCCTAGCACTTTAGGAGGTGGAGGCTGGAGGATCACCTGAGGTCAGGAGTTTGAGACCAGCCTAGTCAACATGGTGAAACCCCATCTCTACTAAAAATATAAAGAATTAGCCAGGCGTGGTGACAGGTGCCTGTAATCCCAGCTACTTGGGAGGCTGGGGCAGGAGAATTGCTTGAACCAGGGAGGTGGAGGCTACAGTGAGCCGAGATCTCACCATTGCAGCGTAGCCTGGGCAATGAGAGTGAAACTCTGTCTCAAAAAAAAAAAAAAAGTGATGATAACAGGCATCCTGTCTTATTATTGATATTAAAGGGCGTGCTTTCAATATTTCACAACTTAGAGTAGTGTTTGCTGGAGAATTTTTGTGGATTTCTTCTTCCATCAGGAAGTTCCCCTCTATTCTTCACTTGCTGATGCTAAATCCTATTAGACACTTTTCTAGCTCTATTGAAAAGGTCAGACTTTTTCCTTTAATCTGTTACAGTGGCAAATTTATATTCATTAATTTTCTTTTCTTTTCTTTTTTTTTTTTTTTTTTGAGACGGAACCTCGTTCTGTCACCCAGGC